AAGGCTGGCAGTTCAAACCCACCAGCCACTCCTCGGAAGGAAGGTTGGGCAATCTACTTCCATAGTGATACCACCTCAGAAACTCAAGGAGGGGTTGCTATGAGTCAGGTCTGACTCGACAGCACATAACAGTTAACAACAACAGAGAGCTTTCTTAGGCCAAATTACGCTTTTCCCATTTTTCTGTTGATAACACTATGTTATGGATACCTTAGTCCTGGTTAAGTTTGTTGTAAATTATGGGTTCTTTACAAAATATGAGCTAACTTAAAATGATTTAAGTATTTTATCAAATATTCATGTTTCTTTTCTGTCATATATGTATATACATTATGATCTTAAAGGCCACTTAATGTATCTTTTAACCTTTACGATTCAAACTAATTTAATTTGATTTCTTTTATTACTGTGGAGTATGTTCCAGGTACTTCTTGAGAAGATTCATGGTAGAATTTGTGACTGGTGTCAGATATAGTATATGGCTATCTCTGTTTTCTTAGCTCCTGGCCACCAGTACAGGCTTTAAATATGCCAATTATTCTTTTACTTACCATGACTAAATTAGAACCAGTGGTAAACATTTTGAGCCATGTACTACATACATTTTAAAAAAAAAACCCTACCATCGTTGAGTTGATTCTGATACATAATGACCCTATAGGACAGAGTACAACTGCTCTGTAGAGTTTCCAAAGCTATAAATCTTTGTGAAAGCAGACTTTCTCATTTTTCTCCCATGGAGTGGCTAGTGAGTTCAAGTCACTGACCTTTTGATTAGTAGCCAAATGCTTTAACCACTGTGCTACCAGACAGAGTTCTTGTACTAGTGGTTATGGTTGCACAGCACGGTGAAAGTGACAAATGTCACTTGTGGTTCACAGAAAATAATGCACGCATTCCCCAGGTTACAAATGAGATCTGTTCTTGTGTCTTTAAGAATTTGTAGGTTAGTTGGAACTGGTACATACAGTTCTTAATTAGCCTCACTTCAGTGCGAGAAAGGAGCTTGTGCTGTGGTCAAGCTCAGCTGTTTGAACTCATCAGCAGTAGCTGTTTCATTGCAGGAAAAGGCTTTTTCATTGAGTTAAAGGCTTAGGAGCAAGTGAAGGTAATTGTGATGAAGATTTACTTGCAAGTAGGGCTTTGACGCAGTCATTTCAGAGTGAGGGCAAATTTACATAACATTAAACCCCACCTCAAAGATGGCAGCTGAATGTGCTACTATAGTCCTGCCAGCAATCCAGTCTCATGCATCAGTCTCCTAAAAGGGCTCACTAAGCCTCTTCTGAGTCTTCCATTCCAAGGCTTCTACCCATAATCTTTCCAAGTTCTGGTTAAAGTTGTATGATTCTAAAGTTGGCATTGTATATTATATCTCAGGTCTTCAGAAAATGTATACTGTGATAGTTTTTACTTATAAATATTAGTGAATAATAATTTAGTGTATTGAAAAACTACTGACATAGTAATATTTATCACCATGAAATACAGTTCTTATTTCTACATGCTGTTTTAAAGAAGTCTTCAGAAAATATAATGGAAAAAATCTAAAATTTATTAGAATTTAAAATTTCAGTCATAAGAAGCCTAAGCAATAAATTTTAACAAGCAGATGAAAAAGATGTTTTGTTCTTTTTGTTTGTTTGTTTTGTTTTTTCAGGGAAGGAACTGTAAAAGATATGGAGGTTTGGGAATCATCAGGGCAGTGGATGTTTTCTGTTTATTCACCAATGAAAAACAAACCTAATATTTCAGGTAACTGAGTAACTATATTTTTTAAATATGTTCTAAAGGTATTACTTTTCTAATATTAAGACCACGCCAAATAAAAAAGTTAACCAGCAATTTGGCTCCAGTTAGAGAGTCAATATTGTGAATATTGTTTAAAGTATCTTGAATATTTTAGCAGAGCTTCATAACTTGGGGATTAAGGTTGGAAGATACATTCATTTTTAATATACGTGGTTGTGATGAGAAAATGATTAAAATCCCAATTCTATAAGTTCAAGAAGAGGTTCTACTTTTTTGTTCCCTGTACATGTAAATTAAGAACCTCTTAGCTGCTTACAGTGAATAGAAGTCACATTCTCCCTGACACTAAGGCCTTGGCTAGCTGGTTCTGTTCATTTCTCTGTGTTTCTAAGAAGTCATGTTTCATAAAACATACTGACATCTAACCTAGAGGTAATGTTAGGAAGTGGAGAGCCTTAGCTGGGCTACAGGGATAGCATTTCTTTAGAATACCTCTTTCCTTCCTATTTGCCCATAGCCTTTTCTTGTGCCTTCCTCTTTTGTCCGTAGCCCCTGAGACCTTCCTAGGCTGGAGCCTAGACCTCCAACTTTTCCATGCCCTCAGTCCTATTGAGGATACAGTAGGTATCTGCATATGGAAGCCCCAACAGTCCCCTAGAACTCTGGGTTCTCCCCTCTGTCTGTCTCAGTTTTACTTCTCTATTCTGTACTTATGTCACAGCATTCCCTATTCATTAATTCATTCAAAAAATACTGATGTTTTTGTTCCTGCTAGGCTCTGTTCTAAGTGCTAGGGGTAGAGAGATGAACAAGACAGACAAGGTCCACCCTTTGTGAAGCTTATGTTCTTTTTTACTGTGATTTGGGTGAAAATTTACAGAGCAAATTCACTTTCCATACAGCAGTTCGCATACACTTTGTCTCATGACATTGACCACAGTTTACCACAATGCAACAGCTTTCCTCCCAACAGTCACCTCTTCCCTGTGTCCATCCCTCCATGCACTCCTGCCCCCTGCGCTGTCTCCCTGTGCATAAGCAGCCCTTCTTTTTCCCATGATTGATCTGTCCAAGGAGTTTATCTACCTGAGGTAAATGTTCAACTCATATGCCTGTCTTTTGTTTGGCTGGAAACCACAGGTGTGGGTTCAATTCCAGACCTGAAGGGCATCTAGGGGCCATAGTCTCAGTGGTTCCACCAGGCTCTATCAGACCAGCAAACCTGGTTCCCCCCTTTTTTTTTTCTACAAATGATTTTGAATTTTGTTGCATTGTTCTCCCTTTCTGTCCAGGATCTCCTACATAGATTCCCTTCCAAGTGGTTGACAGTGGTAGCCGGGCACCATCTAGTTCTTCTGGTCTCATAGTCATAGGTTGCATATCGGATGGTGTACCAGTCGCTAGGAGAAGCTTATGTTCTTGAGGGAGGAGAACAATAAGTATTGCAAATAGATCATTTCAGATAGTGATGTTTTCGGGGGGGGGGGGGGAAAAGTGTTAAGTCTTCCTAATGAGTTCAGAATTGAACCCTCATGCCTTAAGGCAGTGGTTCTTGAAATGTGGAATGTGGATCTTTGCAAGTCCTTGAGTAATATTGCCAGATAAAATACAGGGCACCTAGTTTCATTGGAATTTTAAGTGAACAAAGAATAGTATCTGGAATGTACTTAGTATCAAGGAGCACTGATAGTGTGATGGTTAAGCACCCGACTACTAACTGGAAAGTCTGTAGTTCAAATACACCAGTGTGGCTCCACAGGAAAAAGGGCCTGGTGATCTGCTCTTGTAAAGATTTCAGCCTAGGAAATCCTGTGGTGCAGTTCTGTGCTGTCCTAAGGGTTACTGTGAGTCTGAATTGATTCAGAGGCACACAACAACACTTATTAACCATTTTTGTACATCTGTAATTCAAATTTAACTGAATGTCCTGTACTTGTATTTGTTAAATCTAGCAACCCTATTCCTGAGACCTTTTTAGGGAAATGTATAAGTTCACAGATTATTTATATAAATAAATATATAACTATTAAGGTTACTTCAGGGGATACTTTTAAGGTGTTGAGTATCTCAGATTTCATTTTAAGTTCTGGTCCACTTTCTTTTTCATTTTATATTGGGGTCCATCTGTTGTGACCCTGATCAGAATGTTTGGTAGTTATGGCCAGGTAAACCCAAGAAAAACCAAACCCACTGCTGTCAAGTTGATTCTGACTCATGGTGACCCCATTTCCAAGGCAGTAAATCTTTATGGAAGTAGATTGCCCAGTCTTCCTTCAGTGGAATGGTTGGTGGGTTTGAACCGCCAACCTTTTGGTTAATAATCAAATGCCTTAGGTACTGTGCCACCAAAGCTCCAGGTACCATCTGTTTATTCTTGTAGACCCAAGGTAGAGGGGGCCATGTTCGTGAAGGCAGTTCTGTATTCTGGTTCTTTCTCTGATTCATGAATTACTGTTGTTCTTTTTTGCTTCAGGTAATAAAGACCATTAGTTGTATCATAGATGGCTGTTTACAATTTGTTATTTTTTGTTTTTAATGTATTTTCCATGAAAGTTTATACTTTTAACATTTATACCACTTCAGATTAGATTTCCATTTAACAGTTTCTACATAGATTGTTCAGTGACATTAGTTATAATTTTCACAATGTGTCAACATCTTTAATTCTGTTGTGGTGTTCTGTTTCCAGTACTCTGGTTTCCCTGCCCCCCCTTTCTCATCTTTGCTTTAGAATTATTGTTTACCACTTGGTCTAATATAGATGGTACTTTACTGGTGTACCATATTCACAGGTAATATCTCTTACTTTGTGTGATAGTATTTTGATTTGCTTAAAGGGGAATTTAGGAGATAATTTCTGTTAAGAGTTTAAAGACTCTCACATTTGTACTCAGTGAGTCTACTCAACTGATGCAGTTAAATCTGGACTTCTCAAGAATTTGATTCTGTTCTACTTTTCTGTTCTCCTGTTCTATCAAGGTCCATCTATTGTGTCCTTGATTGGAATGGTCAGTAGTGGTAGCCATGCTCCATCTAGTTCTTCTGGTCTCAAGGTAGTAGATGAGACCATGGTTCTTACAGGCTATTAGTCCTATAGAATAGCTTGTTCTCTTGAGAATTTGGTTTCCTTCTATCTCTTTTTACTTTAGACAAGTAGAGTAGTTGTATTTTCGATCGTTGCTCACAAGCTTTTAAAACTCCAGACATAGCTCACAAACTGAGATCTGTAATGTGACCTTTATATATGCCAATTGAGTGAATTAACCCATGAGACTATGACCCGAAGTCTTCAGAAAAACTAATCCTGTGAGTTGACTATGTCTAAGAAATATTTGTATCTATAGCTCCTATCTGGTTTATGTATGTGTGTTACTGTAGGGAAAGTTGTATAACATAGCATTTAACAATTTCTCCTTTTTCTTATGGACGGACACTTAGTGGCATTGGTTAGAGTAGACAAACTGCATACTTCACCCACATCTGGTGCCATGTTTTCCATCACCATAAACAAAAGGTGATTACTATCTAGAGAATATCTCTCTACCCCCTGGTCACCACCAATGAACACTGGTCTCTGAGTATATTCCTATTCTGTTGTTTTCTAAGTGAGAGCATACAATGTTCATCCCTTTGTGATTGATTTATTTCACTCAGCTTAATATACTCCCATTTCATCCATGCTGCAAGATGATTCAGGAACTCATTTTCTTTTATGGCTATGTGGTATTCCGTTGTATGTATTTACCACATTTTGTTTATCCATTCATTCATTGATGATTCCATTCATTCATAGATGGTATCCATTCATAGATGGTTGTTTCCATCTATTTGCTATTGTGAATAGTGCTGCAGTGAATATAATCGTTGCCATCAAGTAGACTCCAACTCACAGCAACCCTAAAGGACAGAGTAGAACTGCCCTCTAAGGTTTCCAAGGCTGTAAATCTTCATGGAAGCAGGCTGCATCATCTTTGTCCTGTAGAGGGGTTGGTGGGTTCAAACCACCAACCTTTTGGTTAGCAGCCCAGTGCATAGCCACCAGGTCTCTTTCTGTAATGAATATAGGTGTACATTTGTCTATTTGTGTCTCTTCTATGCGATCCCTTACAGTATCCACACATCATCCTCTCCAACATTTGTTGCTCTCTTTATTTTTTATTTTTTTTGATCAATGCTGTTTTAGTAGGTAGTTTGGATTTGCATCTCTGAGCTCTGGTAGCATAGTACCTAAGGCATTTGACTGCTAACTAGAAGGCTGGCGGTTCAAACTCAGTAGCCACTCCTCGGAAGGAAGATTGGGCAATCTACTTTCATAGTGATACTGTCTCGGAAACCCAAGGAGGGGACACTGTGAGTCAGTTTCAACTCAACACCAGTGAGTTTAGGAACCCTGATAATAAAGTGGTTCAAGTGTTTGGTTGCTAGCCACAACGTCAGGGGTTTGAACCCACGATCTGCTCTGTGGAAGAAAGACAGGGCAATCTACTTTAGTAAAGATTACATCCTTGGAAACCCTTTGGGGCCATTCTACTCTGTCCCATATGGTCACTATGAGTGGGAAAATTGACTCCCTGGAAATGAATTTGATTTCTTTTTAATGGCTAACTGAAGGAACCCTGGTGGCACAATATGAGCAAGAGTTCAGCTGCTAATCAAAAGGTCAATGGTAGAAACCTACCAGCCACTTCACAGGAGACAAGACTACAGTCTAGGAAACCCTATGGTTTCTGTCCTGTTCTTTAGGGTTTGCTATGAGTCAGAATCAACTGACAGCACACAACTGCGATGGCTAATGACTACCTTTTCGTGTATTTGTGGCTGCTTGATTGTCCTCTTTGGTGACACATCTGTTCATGTGTTTGGTTCATTTTTTAATTGGGTCATTTCATTTTATGAAGTTCCAGTTACCTCATTTGTCTTCTGCTATTCATGTATTTATAGTAGTATTTGATAATCTATTATTTTTTAAAAAAAAAAAATTATGTCTAGTGGTTTTGCCTATA